ATTTGTTAATCTTCTATAAGGGTGTGCAATATTGTTAACCATTGTTTTATATTCTATGTATTTTTACCTGAAGTCAAAAGAATTTACAGAGGTGGTTTTTACACAATTAAAAGAGAAAAACAAACTTCAGTAATGTATGGCTGATATTAAGAAAATATCTTAGGTTTATTGATTTTTGTTTCAGGTTCTTTTAACTATAATAATGTCAACAATTTAAATATGCAAATAAACAAATTTGTTTAAAAATTTGTTTGGTTTTCAAAGTCTACCCAGTAGATAGGTAGAATCACTTTACACTTCCAGTTTTTGTTTGTCATTTTGCTCTTACTAATGACAGAATTTTAATTAATGTATACTTTTGTCAAATTTATTATCAGTATTTTTATATATTTTTTTTAGTTAACTAGATGGAGATTTAAACAACTTGCCATTGAAATCCTGAAGAGGCACATTAGAAATGTTGAGTAGAACATGTATAAGTACATGTACGCATTAATGCCTTTAATTCTTACAATATTCAGTGATGTGCTCAAATTGAGAAAAAAAAAGAAGCAAATGTTTATTTTTATATTGGACTTGTCTGATCAGTTTATGGTATAGATATATTTACATTTGTTCATTTATTCTGCATAGAAAAATATCTTTATCTAGTAAACACAGTTGTAATATTGTTATATACAATAAACAGTAAAAACTCATCATTTTCTTGTTTTTGTTTGTTTATAGTTTAATAGTATCACTTCAAAATAAACCATACTAATATGTTAGGCTTACACTATGCATTGATGTATGTTGTAAACTTTAATCACAAAGAAGTAGTTGTACAGTTACTAAAACAGCTTTCTGTAAGCCACTTTAATTTTTGAAAAAATATTTTTTTTAACTATTAATGAAACACCAATAATTTACAAGTTCATATTAAGCTTCCTAGATTATTAACTGTAGCCATCCCAAATTTTGAACCGATAGGGTAGTGGGGAAGCAGCTGACAACATCACCTGCTATCAACTCTTGAACTACTCTTAATTCAATAGAGGGATTTTACTGTCACTCTTATAATGCACCCATGGCTCTAAAGTGCAAAACATTTTTTTTTCATAAGTGGGATGAAGACCATGGGCGCTTCGATTCTCAGTTCAGTACACTTCAGGTATTTTGGGTGGAGACATGGTCGAGTGTCTGTAAACGGACCATAACTCCCATAATCAACAAACAATCGACAGGAACAGCACGCACACTGCTACTTCTTGGC